TACCCCTTTACATTACTGTCTGCATTCGGCCACAATTAAAGCAAGATGAGTCTGATTTTTCATTTTGTGAGACAAGATCTCCTTACATGGTTCAGGATGCCCCTGAACTCAAGTTCCTTTTACTCTAGCTTACCAAGAGCTAGAGGGCCCACACTACCATTTCCAGCTTGATATTAAAACCACTATCAAGGTGTCAAAATGTAAAAATATGGCATATAATTTAACGCCTTATTTTTTAAGTAGCTTTTTTATTTCAATCATGGACAACCGATTTTTTGAGATCACAAGGGAACGGAGGTAACCATGGGAAACATGGCAATAAGAGGCCAAATTCTAAATTAACTAAATGCCTCTGCTTCCTTTCATTCTCCTCTTCCTCAGCCACTTTATGATTCTCAGGGGCCTCTTCCATTCTGTGAGTACATATTCTTTTGCTATGTGTCTTAACACTTAATGCATTCAGGTTTAGCATCTATTGGAAGTTTTTTATCAAGAAAAAGATTGACATGTTTTTCTGTGTATATATAGTTTTATGACTTTTTCTGCACCTGGTGTGAAATGCCCATAGATGCCACAAAAGGGAAGCAACTCTCCTGGGACTATTGTTACAGATGGTTATAAGCTGCAATGTGGGTGCTGGCAACTGAACCTGGGTTCTCTGCAAGGGCAGCAAATGTTCTTAGATCTCTGAGCCATCTCTCCAATACTAAGCACTACATTATTTTTAAAACTTTATCATTTTTGTGTATGGATATTTTGCCTGCATGGATGTCTGTGCATCACCTGCATGACTGACCCTTGTAGAGGTCAGTAGAGGGCATCAGATCCCCTGGAACCCGAGTTGCAGGTTGGCCATGTGGGTGTTGAGAATTCAATCTAAGAGCTAGTGCTCTTATCTGCTAAAACATCTCTCCAGCCTATCCAGCTTTTTTTAAATTTTTCCTGTTCTGAGACAGGGTTTCTCTGTGTTGGCCTGGCTGTCCTGGAACTCATGCTGTACATCAGGATGGCCTTGAACCCACAGAGATCCATATGCTGCTGCCTCCCAAATGCTGAGATTAAACATGTGCACCACTACCACCAGGCACAAATGATGTATTTTTTAAATTTTATTTATATTTTATATATGAGTGCTCTGCATGTATATCTGCATGCCAGAAGAGGGAATCAGATCCTATTATAGATGGTTGTGAGCCACCATATGGTTGCTGGCAATTGAACTCAGGACCTCTGGAAGTGCAGCCAATGCTTTTAACCACTGAGCCATCTCTCTAGCCTCCCAAATTCATGTATTTTGGTTTTTTGTTTGTTTGGTTGGTTTTTCAAGACAGGGTTTCTCTGTGGCTTTGGAGCCTGTCCTGTAACTATCTCTCGTGGTCTCGAACTTACAGAGATCCACCTGCCTCTGCCTTCCAAATGGAGGGATTTAAATGTATGTAAAGAAACCAAGCTTGATGGTTCACAACTTTAATTCCAGCATTATAGAGTCTGAGGCAAGAACATCAGTGGTATGGTATGAGGCGACCCTGTCTAAATCAGTCAATTAACACAAAATGAAAAAGTTAACAATTCCCACACCTGCCAGCAAGATATGTTGTTCTTTGTGTGGACATTTTTCCTTTGTAGTTACCAAGACCTTTTCAACATTGTAAGTTGAACAGGCTCCCAGACCTTAGCACAACTGACTCCATCAAGGCAGTACTATTCAGGTGGTAACATTCAGCATGCAGACAGAACCACCAGCCAGAACAAAAACAAAGACTTAATCCGTTTCTGGCTAACTGTTCATGTTAACTAAAATATATCAACCCAAAACATGGTTTTTTTTGTTTGTTTTTGTTTTTTCCCCTTAAAAAACTCACTCTGGGAAAGGCACAGGGCTACACTGGGATACTGAATACCCAGTGTAGTTGCTAACTTGTTAATAAAGATTTTCTATTGGCTTAAACCCATGTCTGAGCAGCCTCATGAATACCCCATAACAAGCATCAAGGAAAGTGGGAAAAAAGAAAAAGGATTTCAGTAAGGAGGGATAAGGCAGAAGAGTAACTCCTAGAAAGAAGGTGATATCCTGGTACAATCTCACTCACTTCATATTTTCTTTGAAGATTAAATATGACAAAGAGTTTTGTTTTTAAGATTTATTTATTATGTATGCAGTGTTCTGCTTGCAGGCCAGAAGAGGGCACCAGATCTCATTACTGATGGTTGTGAGCCACCATGTGGTTGCTGGGAACTGAACCTCTGGACGAGCAGTCAGTGCTCTTAACCTCTGAGCCATTCTCCAGCCCCCAAAACAGTTGTTTAAACATTGATTCTATGCTACACAGAGGTTCCAATAACTTTCTCTGTGTTTTTCAAATATGTAGGATCCTTAAACTTGAAACAGTGTGACTAAACCAAGCAGAAGAGAAGGACTGTCAAGGAAACTGTTAAAACAGGGAACAAAGCACCCAGGAGGCAGATGCGGGTGGATCTCTTGAGTTCAAAGTCAGCCTGGGCTACACAGAGAAACCCTGTCTTGGAGAAAAAACAGAGCAAAGAACGTTTTAAAACAACATAATGCCCTTAGCCAGAGAATGAAGTGCATTCCCAAACAAGAACAAGGTGCTACTTAAAAGGCCTGAAACTATCCTTGGTAACTACACAAGAGAAAACAGAGGGGAGTCACAATCCAGTCAGTTCTACAACAGCAGTGATACCTGGCTTGAAAGCTGTCATTCTTGCTCCGAGGATGATACACTCAGCAAGTCTCGCCAAATATGGCTGTTAAAGAACAAACAATAAATGATTCTGTAGTAACTTAACAAAAAACACTAAACGAAGCCCAACAGTGGTGGCGCATGCCTTTAATCCCAGTACTTGGGAGGCAGAGGCAGGTGGATCTCCATGAGTACAAAAAAAAAGACGTCAGTCTGGTCTACAGAGCCGAGTTCCAGGATAGCTAGGGCTATTACACAAAGAAATTCTGTCTCGAAAAACCGAAAATCAAAAAGTAAAACACTAAATTATAACCAAGGTAACTGTTGATTATAAAAGACAAAATATTTTAAAGACATCAGATTATAGAAAACTATTATCTATATACCTATATATTCCAAACATTGTACAATTTATTGTCATTTGGAGACACTGTTGTTCAGGCTGTCCTCAAACTGTTCATATGTAGCTCAGGCTAAACTTGAAATTCTGGTCCTCCTGACTCCATACCCTAAAGTGCTAGTACTAAAGATGTGGGCCAGCTTAAACTGTATAATTAAGTGGTAGAAGCCCCATCATGGGGGTGATTTTGAGAAAGCAAGATCTTTCATATTCCATAGCATGGCAATATTTACAATTAAAAATAAGAAAAGGGGGAAGGGTAGGCAGAAGAGGTAGCATGGTAACACATTTGGAGTTCAGACACCCAGGGTTTCTGGATTCGAAGCTGTATCTAAGCTGTCACTTACTTCAACTATGACTGAATGAGTTCTCTTCTCTGGAGTAAACCTACTCTGAGAATTAGCTCAAACTCAGCACACAGCATCCATTTGACACACAGGAAGTGCTCCAATTAGCCATATTAAGAGCTTGCTAATTGGAAATGTTGAAATTAATAACAGAGAAATGACTAAGTTAAAAGAAAAAGCAGGAAGGGGAATGAGAGACAGGTGACAGGTGGGATGAGACAGGGGTCTAACATTTTCATTAGAATCTGGCAGCAGCACTGTCCAGTGCAAGCCACTCTGATTTTAAATGTTCCTATATTTAAAAAATTAAAAACAAGGAAAGTTAATTTTAATAATGTTTTATTTAATTCTATGTATCCAAAATATCATTTAAAACATAATGGTCATAAACAAATTGAAATTTTTAACACTTTTTTGTTTTGTAGTAAGTACCTGAAGTTCAACATGTTTGCACATTTATAGCATATCTGCATTCAGACAAGCCACATGGTAACCATTCAACCCTAAGTGGCTGGTGGCTATGATACTGGACAGTGTGCCTAAGACAGTAACTGATTCTGAAAAACAATACTTCTCATAAGTGGGTAACAATACAGTAATAGCCACTATTTACTTACTAATGGAAGAAGACTGCTACTTTATACAGTAGTCTAGCCAAAACAAAAAGAATCTCAATGTGATCACCCTTCATATTCAATTACCAATTTATAGGAATACAAAGGAAAAAAAATTAAACGGCATGCTAAAGATGCCCACACAGTAAAATTTAGGCTATGGGAAATTTAACATATGAACAAAGAAAATAAGGAATTTTTTGTTAATAAAATGGTATATGAATCAATGAATATAAAACTAAAGGATTTATAAATGAATACATAGAATGTTCTGCAACTTCCAGGGAACTGAAACTTTTATGTAATATTTGATAATTATTTTCATTAATTGTTAAGTATACAAAAGTATATTAAACTATAAAAGTTATTACTTTTATAGTGTTGTAAGGAGCCATTACCTCTTGGGAGTACATACTGGAATATTTACAGATGAAATAATATATCTGGAATTTCCGTCAAAACAATATGCAAACTGGAGACTGGTGTGGAAATTGAAATAAGATGAAACTGTCTACAAATCAGTAACACTGAGGCAAATCATGCATGGAGGCTTGTTACACTGCTGTGTCTGCTCTCCTAAATTTAAATTTTCTACCATAAGAGATTGCAAAGAAAACTATGAAGCACAGAGATTACACTGGAAAAAAAAAAAGCTTGAAGATAAAACTAAGCTCAGATTAACTCTTTAAGACCTGAAAGAACTTGTTTTCTTGCTTCTTATCTTATACAACCTTAGGAGGTCCCACATTGGTACCAAAGCATCACCTCCTTTCCAGCTCATCTGACACTCTCCATAAGGAATCAAGACTTTTCTTGTAATTATTTATAAACCATATGAAATCACCCCTTTACAAAGCATAGGGGCTTTAGTTTAACATGCAGAGAGACTCTCAGAAAACCTAAGTCAAACTTAACAAAATGAATTCAAGACAGGAAATACAGCTGAAAAACTTAAATCTTTATTCTTCCAGGTTTAACTAGGAGGTCAATGCTTAGTAACTTTTTTCATGATTAACTTTTAGGAGTGCAAAACTACACATTAATATCCCATTCCTCCGAGTTTTATATGTCATTCTTCCTTCAAGTCTGAAGAAAATGAGTAATTTATGAAGTTTCAGAGATACCAGTTCTACAGATGTAGCATCTGTTCTAAAGTCTACACTCACGAAAATGAGTAACAGCCAGTACCATACTGGCCTGAAACCTGACGAGGTTCTTGACTCAGAACATTAGCTGCCCATGTGTCAGTTCTCACTAAGACATAAAATTAGACTAGCGTGTATGTATATCATAAAAATGTTTAGGACAGATTAACAATAAAACCTCACCAAATTTCAACTTCATCTTTTAAGCAAACTAAACTTTTAAAATGCTTATTAACTCTGAAATAATAGCAAGTAACTTTTTCTTTCAGGTTTCCCAGCATTTCAAAACAGCTAGTAAGTCAATATAACTTTTAAAATGTCAACATATACTATACATATTGCACTTTTCTAACAGGCCGGGCTAAGATCTTCTGTGATGACAGAAAAAGTACTGAATAAAATATAATTTAAAAATCAGTAAGTTCTCATTTAATCTCCCTCAAACTGGAGAGAGTGGGGGGGTTCTTACTGACTTTTTATGTCCTGTTTTGGTCCCTTGATGTCCAAAGAGAATTTTAAACAAATGACATTTCATGTTTCCTGCCTTAATTTAACAAAAGCTATTACAGAGGTAGGCAGATCTCTGTGAGTTTGAGGCCAGCCTAGCCTACAGAGTGAGTTCCAGGGAAGGCTCCAAAGCTACAGAGGGAAACCCTGTCTCGACAAACAAAACAAAATGGTATTATTAATAAAAAAAAAGTCTTCAATTATCCTAATCAAATAATAGTGTGTGTATATTTATTTCTGTGTGAGAGAAGTTAACTCTGAAATGTCTGTGTATGTCTAAAATAGGTCCCCTCAGAGCTTTGTTAAATTTTATAATTAAGATTTAATAAATTATACACTAGAATCAAATTAAGTAAGGTAAACTTATTTGGAAAAAATTAAGTCAATTCCCAATATGCTTGACAGGAACAAGCTATTCAATTGCATCTGCTTTCCAATGAAGAGTTTACTCAAACTGTCCAAGGCTTTACTTCCAAGTGGTCCTCTACAGGCTTCTTCAGGGTGTTTTAAGATTGGCTGTAGCTAGAGTTCTGACTTCCATTTGGACCCTGCTCTCCTTCACTGTTCAAACGGGGAAAAAAGAAATTGTATGCCAATTAAAAGATTCATTTTCAACACCTGATAGTATTACTAGTTTCTGAAATTAATTATTGTGTGGCACAAGTCTACAAAACAAAGACATTTCTGATGGTAAAACACAGGTGTAGAAAAATTAAAATCCAGAAAACTAACATTTGGTTTTATGTTTTTATTCTTCTGTAACTTTGGGCCCTCATACACAACAAGCAGTCTGGAAGTTAGTGTGCATATACATTCAAAGATTTAAGTTAGCGTTTGGGATTTCACTATTATTACAGGCATCACTCAACATAGAGATTACAAGTTCTGGACAAATTTCCTACGAAATTAATCTGACATGTAAAACTCTATTTCTACTCTTTAGGAAAATCCAAAGTGTCTTTTAAAAAAAAGAACAAACAAACAAACAATAACAAAAACAAAAACCTGCTCTCCAGTGACATAATAAAACCATAGGTAATTATAACAAACCTTTTTATACATCAAAAATATGGTAATTTCCTAGAAAATGCTGAATATTAATATAAAAATAACTAAAGCTGGAAATACCAGTAACTGTGACAATAGGAGATTGCCTTATCTTGTCCACCATCATCTTGCAGCTTCAGGCCCTGCCATTAGTGGAGAATCACTCAGGGAGCTTCTGTAAAAAACGCATCCAAAGGTAGCTGTTTGAATGACTGCCTTAGGCAGCTCCTCATAACAGTTAAGCATTACTTTCTTCTTAAGTGTAATACCAACGCTAGCCAGCAGCATTTATAAATGCATCTCAGTGCTATATAACCTTTGAGGTAACAACTGAGCTTACAGCATTTATTTTCCTTCTCACCTTTTTCTCTTCCTTGAATGATCTGACACATAGTGAGGGGCAGAGTCACTTGACTAATGGACAGATTCATTTAAAACAACAAAAGCTTCTTAGCAGAGGAGGCTCATTTTTCCAAGATTGTATGTAACTGTGTGCTATGGATCATAAGATTACTCAGAAGTCAAAACTTACTATCTTTAGTATATCAGATCATCAAAGTGTTTGAAAATAGTTACTGAATGTATAAAATAATCATTGCTGAAGGGAGAGGAATGGCAGAATCAAATGGAAAGAATTATTTGAGCTTTTTATCTCTGAATTTCAAATAAGTTTGCCTAATTCATTCAGTTCCATCTATGTTCAGAATGTGGCTATATGTTGAGGGATACCTGTAATAGACCTCCACTGCAACAGGAAAAGTTACTAGACAGAGGATTTATCTTAAAACTGAGACATACCTCAATGTATCAAGACAGAAATTACATAAACAGAAATCAAGAAATTTTAGTATAAGTTTTTAGAAAAAGATAACACATAACACAATCTATAACTTGAGAACACTATACAATGAAATCAAATCAGTAATTAAGTCTAAAATGTACCTGTTAGGGGGTGGTTTGGGTTTTGGCATCTTACTAAGAATAGTTGCCATCTCCTTTCTCTCATCAAAATTCTTCCACTGCTCATATAGTTTTAAAATAACCCTGATTATTTCCAAAATCTAGAAGAAAATATTTGAAAAGCTTTCAGTAGCAAAACTAGCAATGTATCAGTATTTAAAGAACATACATCATGCAGAACCTGGTGGCACAAGCCTTACTCCCAGCACTTGGGAGATAGACACAGATGGGTTTTGATGTATTAAGGCCAGCCTGATCAACATAGCAATTTCCAGGCATGGCAGGGCTGTACAGTAAGACTATGTCTTCAAAAAAGAAGAGTACCTTCTCCATATCCACAGAAAGTTCTGCAAACCATTGCCTAGCATCTTTCTGTTGTACAACACAGGCTACATGTAGGCAAGCTAAAAAGAAAATCAGAGACAATTGTTCAAATATAAGGGTAAACAGTCTTAGAACTAAAGATTTTCATAAAGATTTTATCTTATTTTCCAATACTATTTTTTAAAATATAGCTACATATAGCTATACACAAACACACACACACAAGTCTGTGAACCAACATTTAATAGACCACTTAACAACTTGATACAGAAAGAAAAAAAAAAAAAAAAAAAGAAATCTCTAGATGTAGGTCTTGACACCTTGTCTTCAATGTATACTGGTCATGGTGTGGGTACCTTGAGGCAGATTTGTTATAAGAAAAAAACTCCAAACAAGAAATTAAGCAGGAAAAAAAATTACCTATGAACAGTAGTGCAAAGTACTCAAATCACACAGGAGTCAGTGACAGAAAACAAAACCCTACCTAACAAATGAACTGTTAAGTCTTAAAAAATGTTTGTTGGGGGGCAGTCCTTGCATCCACAGATTGCTGAGGCAATCAGGAATGTTAATCATGCAGGGGTTGTTTCCTCAAAGGAGGAAATAAGTAGGAGTGGATATTACTAACAACCCATGACCTTTTGGTATCTACAGTGGCAGACCCCACCCAAATACCCCAAAATGTCTATTGCAAACTTTCCCTCCTTAGACCTGTATCTTTAGCTCTCAATCAATGGAACCCATACCGAAGGGATATAATTTAAAATTTAAAAAGCTAAATTTCACTTAAGCATTTATTGGCTGATGGGAGATGCCATTATGTATATATGTTTCTCATACTGGTTAATAATAAAGCACTGTTGGCCAATAGGAAAGGAAGATAGGAGGGACTAGGAGACAAGGAGGAAAGAGGAAGTAGTAAGGAGGAGTCAAGATGGAGAGTCTGGAGAGAACAGAACTGCCGTTCCTCCGCTCTCGGTAAGACCACGTGGAAATACATAGAAATGGGTTAATAATTAAGACAGAGCTAGCCGATAAGAAACAAGTACCTGGCCAACAGAATAATATTAAATACAGAGTCTCAGTGTGTTAATTGGGGCTGGCGCAGTGGCGGGACAAGACCGGGCGGCGGGAGGAAAAACTGTACTCCATACAATTGGCCTTTGCACTACAGTCACGTTTGGTCAGTCAAACTTTTAAGAGTCTTGTAGGCTGGAGAGATGGCTCAGTGGTTAAAAGAACTGACTGCTCAGGGGTCCTGATTTCAATTCCCAGCAAGTACATGGTGGCTCACAACCATCTATAGTGGAACCTGATGCCCTCTTCTGGCATACAGTAACATGCAGATAAAGCATTCCTTCCTATCCATAAAATAAATAAATAAATCTTGCTGGGCGGTGGTTTAAATGCCTTTAGTTCCAGCACTTGGGAGGCAGAGGCAGGCGGATCTCTGTGAGTTATAGGCCAGCCTGGACTACAGAGCGAGTTCTACACAAAGAAACCATCTTGAGAAACCAAAATATATAGCTAATTTTTGTTAATTCAGAATAGCACCATGCCCAGTGCTTTACAAGAGTCACCAGTGCTGCAGAAGTGTTAAGTATAATCCATGTGTGACCTCTAGTACTCTTACTACTACTAAGAAAGAAGCCATGAAAATCAATAGGAGAAGAAAAAAGGCCCAGGAACTATCAAGTGCTTAGGATATAACAGACATCGGTGCTCTATTTTTATAAAGTTACTATCCCTCCCACAATTTTACAAGCTCAGAAAATTTACATAATTACTTCTACAACTGTAAAGACAGCAATGTGTCTATGTGGTCTACTTAACTCTAGCCCATCCTTGCATGCCTTCCCCACCCTGTGGGATGACAGCTAACTTCTAACAATAGCAGCAGAGGTGCCTCTTTCCTTAATCTCTTGAGTGTTCACTTGATCCAGAAATGGAAGTCAGAAGCAGTCACTTGAGACAACTAACAGCATATTTACACCTGAGTTTTCCCTTTAAGCAAACAAGAACGTTGTTGAGGTACTGATTAAAACATTTTAAATGAATTAAAGGGGGAAATTATCAAAAAAGGGATTGAGGGTCTGTAACGAGTACGGTTTTTCCGCCTGCTGCCAGTCTTGTCCCGCCGCCACGCCAGCCCCAAATAATACACAGAGACTCTGTATTAGATATTATACTGTTGGCCAGTTACTACTTTCTTATCGGCTAGCTCTGTCTTAAGTATTAACCCATTTCTGCTGATCTATGTATTTCTCTTACCGGGGAGCCGGCGGCATACTGCTTTCTCCAGACTCTCCATCTTGACTCCTCCTTACTACTTCCTATTTCCTCCTTGTCTCCTAGTTCCTCCTATCTTCCTTTCCTATTGGCCAACAGTGCTTTATTATTAACCAGTATGAGAAACATATACAAAATGACATCTCCCATCAAGGGTCAGCAATGCTAATCTGTTGTAGTACATATTACTGAAAAGCTCACATTCAAGGATTAGTCTACCACTTCATAAAAACGTAAATTACAATCAGGCAAAATGTATTTTAGGATGACCTAAATAGGCAGAAACAGTCTAACCAATAAAGGCACTCCAAAATTACATACCTAACGCTATCATGAAAGGAGGGTACAGCAGACAAAGATCCGTCCTGTAGGTATCATTCACTATTCTCCTGTAGAAATGTAAATCTCATCATTAGTAGCAGCACAACTACTTCACTATGTAATTTCTCCTAGAGGGAGCCAGATTTCCCATTTTTGTACATTTATATTCCTGTTCTATTACTGAGAAGAGCCATAAAGATGAGAACATAGAGACAAAACAATGGATGCCTGAATGTGACAACAAAGAGATACACTTACTGAATATAAAATTCATGTATGGGTGAGTATATTTTTGATGTAGGGACCTCACAACAAATTATGTAAAATAAGTTTTTCATCTTTTTGAAAAATAATAAGTAAAATTAAAAGCCATTATTTGAAATAGATTTGTATTAAATCCAATAAAAATTATTATTTTAAGAATAAATTCATTCTTAATTTTCATGTAGTCGTGGTTTTCATATGAAACATTAACAGATATACTTTATCAAATAGGTAATTCAAGATATATATGACTTTCTAACTTTATACCACTATAGTTATTAAAATTTAACAGGCAAATGTTTGCTGAGTATAAAGTGTCTGGGGCACTTTAAACACTAACGCACGTCTTTAGTCGTTACCCTCCTGTCTGGCAGCAGCTACATATGAGTAACTTGTGTCTGTTACCATGCAAGGGGGAGCAACACGTCTTCTTGGCCCATGTCCTGCACATACTGCAGCAAAGGTCTATAAGGATGATACACTATCAAGCAACAGTCCTAGAAACAGTTTAAAAAATGTATGTACAAAAGCAGATTTATTACAACATAAAACAGTATCACTTCCAACTAACTGTTCTGTGTATTTCAAACTGATTTTTCTCATTTTTGCTTCTTCCTTTTTATTCTTTTATTCAAATACAATCTAAGCTACTGTGATAGTGACGGCAGTACTCTCTCTGGAATATACCTTGGTAAATCAGGTAGCAGCCAGTCAGCATCCACTCTTTCCCTTAGAGACACAAAGTGTGACATCTGCAACACACTGACACCTCTCACCAGCCTATAAAGCTACAGTTCTGAATGGAGGAGCAGAATTCTGCCCAAGATGCAATCTGTCTTTAGTTCTGCATGCATGTGTACATGTGTGCGAATACACACTTTGCTGTGGCTTAACTTCCTGGCTTATTTGCTGTAATCCTTACTACAGTTAAAATAAAAGTTTAAAAAATTTCCAAGCCCAAGTAAGATACACAAATTATTTTACAGGCCTCAGAAGGAAAACAGTTGATAATGCTATTATAATTCTATGATTTTGCCGTCACATATCATATAAATTTAAAATTTACTTTCCTTCAGAACAATTCATTAAGTGTTACTGTATTTTGAAAATATATACATACCATTAATTCTAAAAGGTAAAATTCACATTCTAGTATCTGTTAAAAAAAAATTATCCAGTGAAAATAGCATAATTACATGAAAATTCTTTTGTTTAAAGTAACAACTTACAGATCAATTAAATAATTTACTAGTCTTACATAAAATGTCTAAATCAAGAAAATAAACACAGTAATTTACATTAGTATTAACAATCACAATAATTTTTGTTGTTGTTGTTGTTTTTTGGTTTTTCAAGACAAGTCTTCTCTGTGTAGCTTTGGAACCTCTCCTTGTACTCACTCTGTAGATCAGGGAGATAGCCTGCCTCTGCCTCCCAAGTGCTGGAGCTAAAGGTGTGAGCCACCACTGCCAGGCAAAATATAGTTACGAGTTTCATTTACTTTTTCAGACAGGGCCTGATGATCTACACCGGCTGGCCTCAAAGACACAGAGATTTGCCTGCCTCTTCTCTTGAGTGCTAGGAGTAAACAGCAAATATGAAGCCCTGGCAAAAAATAGCGGGGTTTTTTTTTTTGTTTGTTTGTTTGTTTTGTTTTGTGAGGCAGGGTTTCTCTGTATTGTTTTGGAGCCTGTTCTGGAACTAGCTCTGTAGACCAGGCTGGCCTCAAACAAAAATAGCATTTTACTGTTACGTTTTAAATCCTTGTAAGGAAAAGGCAGTATCATATATTCTTTTTTAGGGGATGTGAGTAACATGGAATTGAACCCAAAGTCTCAAATATGCTAAGCACTTACTCTACTACCCCAGAATTCTTGTGACTTAAAAACAAAACAAAATCCTGTTAGAAAGTTTAAATTTAAGCCAGGCATGTAGCACATGCCTTTAATTTCAGCATCAGGAGACGGAATCCAGCCTGGTCTACACAGACAAATCCTGTCTCAAAACAAAAACAAAACAAAACAAAACAAAAAAAAAAAAAAAAACCAAAAACCAAACAAACAAAAAACCCCAAAACAAAACAAAACACCAAACCCCCAAACAACAACAACAAAAAACCCAATCATCCCCATCAACAAAAACTTTCTAAACTTCCTAAGGCGATTTAACTGATTACTAATCTCTATTTTGAAGTACTACCAGAAAAATCGAGAAGTTACTGAGATTTAATATAAAATAATGTCTATATTTTATAGAACTTGAAACTTCCATTTCTAAGAGACTATGAAGTTTGTTCTAATATAAAATAGTTAATACAGAGTTTTATATAATATACTTACATGATTCATCCTGTAAGGAAATTCCTTTGGAAAGGCATAGGAAAATCTAGTTTTCACTATAAGAAACAAAATAATACAATTAAAACCAAGAAAATGCCAACATGAAATCTGTTCAAAATGCCTTTAACGTAGCACAAAATGTTAGAGTATGCTGTATTTGTTACTTAGAGCAGGAGCTCTCATAAAACACTTAAAAGACCGGAGCTTTATTTTCAGGGAGGACAGAGACGGGTGGGAATTGTTTACACAATTGGAGAGCTTAAACTAAGCTTCATTGTAGAAACTAAGGTTCATGCTGCAATGGTGCCATGTGCCTGCACTCCCAGCACTTGGGAGTATAGCAAGATGACTGGAAAGGTAAAGGAAAAGGGAAGAATGAAGGTGGGGGAGGGAAAGAGAGGGGAAGAAGAGAAAGGAGAAGAAAGGAAAAAGCTTTTTTAAAGATTAAAAGACTGGGAAAAAAATCACTAGATTCTATCATCTCTAAATCTTTCCAACTCTAGAGTGATTATTTTTCTATTTGCTTGTAATTTATCTTAGAATGAACACAGGACACAACTCATTAAAAAAAAAAAACGGGTGGGAGAAGGTAAGGTCATATACCAAAATTAGCAATGATAATCTGAGACTAAAGGGTTTTTTAAACTAATTGACACTTTGCGTTTACAAGTGCTTCTTTACCAAAAGACATAAATATGTAAGTGTATTTATAAACAAATGCATAAATACGTTTATGTATTAATTTACTGTCTTTTAAATTTTGAGACAAGGGATCATTATGTACCCTTGGCTGGCCTGGAACTTGCTATGTAGGCTAGGCAGGCCTCCAGGTAATAGAGACCTGCTGGCCTCTGCCTTCTGCTGGCATTACAGGCATGTACCTTGACAAAACACATTTAAATGACAGCATCATGATACATGCAAAGTTTCTAGGTCATTTTCTTATACACGTTGTTACCATTTATAGTCACTAAGAAAGAACAAATGAAAAATCACTGTTAGCTATCTCCTCAAGAAGTCATGAGTTACACATACTTAAGTACTATTGAGAAAAGTGTATTTGAGTCATTAGGTTCAAATAGTCAAACCAATTAAGGTAGCAACTGGCAGCTCCAGCAGCTCTGGTATATAATTTCTTCCATTGGTACAAGTACTTCCTTCACTCAAACTAGGAGGAATTGTGTGCACTTTAGGTATTACATTTCAACAAGGTAAAATAATGTCTGTACAGGACTGGTACACTTTTATTCCCAGCAATTGCGAGGCAGGGGGATCTCAGAGTCTGAGGCCAATCTGGCTTCAATCCTGTTTCAAAAAAGTTTGTAATTGATACATGTCACTAAGCCCTGGACTTGGACACCTAACACCCCCACTGAGATTAGATTTACGTTAGAACATGTCAGCTTCTACCACTTAAAGCAAAAGTGATATGACCCACTTCTTTGTTTTTGAGACAGGTTTCTCTGTATAGCCCCAGCCTGTATGATCCTCACTCTGTAGACCAGGCTGGCCTTGAACTCAGAGATCCGCCTTCCTACACCTTTCAAGTGCTGGGATTAAAGGAGTATGCTACCAACACCAGATCCATATTTTTTAAACTTTATCCTGTGTTTGTACATGCACACACATGTATACCATAATGTGGGTGGAATTCAGAGGACATCTTATGGGTTCTAGGGATCAAACTCAGGCCATCTGGTTGAGCCATCTATCTCTTCAAGTCTATGTAGTAAAACTCTTTCAAAAACAAACAAAATCGATAATTTACATGTTCAAGTCCTAATCCCTACTACCTCAGAAGGGGATTATACCTGGAGAAACCTTTACAGCAATAAAGAGGCTTAGTGATTAAGAACACTTACTCTCTTGCAGATGACAGAGTTCAGCTTTCAACCCATGTGAGGCAGCTCACATCTGCATGTAACTACTGCTCCAGGGAATGCAACACCCTTTTTGTTTTGTTTTTGGCTTCTTCAGGTGCCCATATGTACACGCATACTCAAACATTTAAATAAATCATTTTTAAAAAGAGGTAAACGTTAAATTAGGTCCTAAGAGCAGGTTATAATTCTACAGGAGTGCTTGATGTGGTTTGGATATAAAGTACCCCCACGACTCATGCTGAAGGCTAGCCATAGCTGGAGGATGCAATCACTGAAAGAAAAGTGGTAGGTACTTAAGGTGATAGTTACTTCACTACGTAAACCAGAATGGCTTCAAACCCACAGAGATCTACCTGCCTCTATGTCCCAAGTGCTAGGACTAAAGGCGCCTGTGTCACCACACCTGACTGCTGCTGTTTTAGTGATAAGATGTGAAAGACGCATGGGGGATGGATAGAGATGGCTCAGTGGTTAAGAACACTTGCTGCTCCCACCCTCCCTGTGGAGTGGAAGAGGAATAGGATGGTGGGAGGGGGATGGGAGGGAGGGAGAGGGAACTGGGACCGATATGTATAAGAAAAAAAAAAAAAAAAAAAAAGAACACTTGCTGCTCCTTGTAGAGAACCCAGGTTTGGTCCTAGCATCCATATGGCCACCACTATTATGGTAGCCTAATACTAGAGTTCCAGGGGACACAATACTCATTTTGATCTATACAGCACCAGCATGGTATACATACAGGCGAGATACTTACAGGTATAAGATAAACCTTAAAAAAAAAAAAAAAAAGTAAGAAAGAAAAGCTGTAGGCACACAAGGGCAATGGAAGAATAACCACAAAAGCCAAACAAAAAAAAAAAAAAAAAAAAAAAAAAAGAAGGCCAAAAGAGAAACCAAACTTGTTGGTGCCTTGATTTTTGGACCTTCAGATTCTAGAACTTTGAGAAAGCACTTTTCTGTTTAAATATCCAATCTGGTATTTTGTTGTAATAATCTTGGAAAATGAAAGGGGCCAGGCATTGGTGGTATACACCTTTAATCCTAGCACTCCAGAGGCAGAGGCAGGCGGATCTCTGTGAGTTCGAGACCAGCCTGGTCTACAAGAGCTAGTTCTAGGACAGCCTCCAAAGCCACAGAGAAGCCCTGTCTTAAAAAACAAAACAAAAAAACAAAAAAACAAAACAAAAAACCAAAATCCTAGAAAAGAAACAGCAATGCATTGTTCAACACGCCACATATATATGTGTATGTGTATATATATATATATATATATATATTTTTTTTTTTTAAACTGGTTTTATCCTCATAGTAACTCTATAACTTGCAGATGAAAAAAAATTAAATGTTTCCAGAAACATTTATGGTGTTATTAAACTCTTCCAGAAAATGTGTACTCTTGAGCCTAAGATGTGGTCTAGGAAGATGTGTCAGCAGTTCATGAGCTACAAGCATGAGGAAACCAGAGTCTGTATCCCCAGACATATAAATGACATGTGTAACAGGCAGTCCATTTGTGACTCCAGCCTCAAAAGGCAGAGACAGGAGCTCCCTGCAATAACCTGGCTAGTGACAAGACTAGCCATATTGGCCAGCTCTGGGTTTAACTAACTGAGAGATCCTGCCTCAATGAATGAGGTGAAAGAGAAATGAGGATAACTCTATGCTCCAACCTCAGGTCTTGCCATGTACACATATACAAAGGATGTATATCCACCACATACAAGCATGCATATATACACAGCAAACCACACTAAGTGCGCATATACACACATTTTAAAAAGGACTGATATGAATGGAGAAAGATGATGTGGGTTATGCCTGTAATCTCAGCATTTAGAAGCTGAGGCATGAGAACGACCATAAGTCAGTCCAAGACTAGACAGTGAGTATCTGTCTCAAAAGTCTAAAAACAAACCAAGCAACCTAATGCCTAGAGGTAGAGCAACTTATTTAAAAGGTTACGTATGAATAGGAATGGACACAATAGAAAGAGACAGACTGGGGCAAAGTTGGTGTAACTGGGGCTAGCGATGACACAGCAGTTAAGATCTTTTCCAGAAAACCCGAGTTTGGTTCTTAGCACCCACAGAGCACCAGGCAGTTCACAACTCTGTAATTCAAGCTACCGGGGACTGATGCCTTCAGCCCCCTTGGGCACCTACACTCATATTCATATACCCACATGCAAACATACACCTACATATAGTTAAAAGTGGTTCTTTAAACACAAGAGTTGCAAGATGTTATGGCAAATCTTTAATCCTAGCATTCAAGAGGCACAGTTCTGTGAGTTCCAGGACAGACAGGACTATAGTGTCATCTGTCTCAAAATGCCAGAAAGCAAACAAAAATTAACTCAGCTGACTACTTAGTCAGTACTCCTTTCTATACCATACAATTTGAAGGTTTGAAAATACATAATTCTCATCAATACAGCTCTTTTTTTTTTTTTTTTAATCACTGAAGAGGGTTATTTTAAACTATTTTAAACTAGGCATGACAATCTCACCAGGATATTAATAATCCCTGGTAAATAGAAACTGGAGGAGTCCAAGTTTCAGATGAGACACTGTCTCAAAAAAGAGTAATATCATAATGAATATAAAAACGTGTTTTTAGGCTAGAGAGTTGACTCAATGGTTAAGAATACTTACTTAATTGTTTTTGTTGCCTAGGACCTAGTTTCCATTCCCAGCACCCAAAAGGAGGCTCACTACCTCCCTGGGCATCACGTATAAATGTTTGCATAGAGACACATACAGGCAAAACACTCATACACATAAAATAGTAAGAGTAGATCGAAGAGACATTTCAGGGCTGGCGAGATGGCTCAGCAGTTAAGAGCACAGGTTGCTCTTCCAGAGGGCCTTAATTCAATTCCCAACAAACACAAGGCAGCTCACAGCTGTCTGTAATCCCAGTTCCAGGGTATCTGACACACCAATGAACATAAAATAAAAATAAATCCTTTACCTCCACCTCCTAAGCACTGAGATTACAGGTATATCAGTAAAAACATCTTTGCAGACATTTTTTTCTTTCCTGTCTAATATGCTAAGGATATTTTTGGAGCTGTAATAAATTCACCTAAATGTGGGTCATAAACAAAACAAAATCTGTATGTTACAGAGCCTTCTTTAGATTTCATCCTTAAAACAGAATACACTTTTTGCACTTACATACAGAAGTAGTAGCAGCGATCAATCTTGTATTTGAGACTACACCAAATTCCTAGAGAAAAGTAAATGAGATCAAGTACTTACTAGCTCAGTATATGTTAAAGATTTCTGAGAATTGTTCAGCAGTTTCCCAAGCTCCTCTCACGTTTACAGTATGTTGGTTGTTACCTACTTAATCTATGAAGTATTTAAATTTCTAAATGTATTACCTTTCCTTAAAATTTCAATAATTTGTGTTGAGTATATGGCTCAGAAGTACATTGCTTACCTATCAAGAATGTTCAATCCTTAGCACACATCAACTAACTAGTCAATCAATAAACAAATGCTGATATTACTCAGAAGACCAAACAAACACCAATGGTCCTAAAAGAATGAAGCAGTTATAATGGAATATAAGGCTTCTTAGGTAAGTTATTTCCTTTTCAACCTGATATACTACCACAATAAAAGAGCTAAAATTTATCATGTAATATAATTTATTCTCATTTAATTTTGGATAAACCACTTAAGATTCCTAAACCATTTACTTACTACAAAGTAGAAAAAGCAAGAATTGGTCCTTTAATTCAAATACCTATAATTAAAACTCTGTAATTTAAGCTGAGTGGTGGTGACGCACGAGGATCTCTGTGAGTTTGAGGCCAGCCTGGTCTATAAGAGCTAGTTCCAGGACAGGCTCCAAAGCCACAGAGAAACCTTGTCTCAAAAAAACAACTATATATATTTAAATATATATTAATGTATACTAATACATACATTGATCTAAGCTGGGCAGTGTCGGTGCACCTTTAATCCTAGCACTCGGAAGACAGAGACAGAAGGATCTCTGAGTTCGAGGCCAGCCTGGTCTATGCATTAGTTTCCTCATGTATAAAATGGGATATAAGTGTTATAGCCCTAAGCGGAAAGGCTTCCCCTAGGGACAGTGTTACAGCTCTGAAGGGAAGTTTCTCCAATGACTGTATCACAGCTCAGAGGGGAAAGACTTCCCTGTGGAAGTGATGCATCTCTGAAGGGAAAGGCATCCAGGCAGTCAGGAGTCAAGGCATACCACAAAGTCAACTCCACAGCAAACCCCACACCAGAGAGCTATTGGGAGGGAAGAACCCAGGAGGTCGCTGCCTCTGCTTGGATGAGAAGCAGTCGGGAGCAGAGCAGAAGGGCTTTATATAGGGTTTCTTGGTGAGCAGAGACTTCCAGGGTAGTACACGATTAGTGGGATTTTTGTGGCCTGATTTTAGGCAAGCTCAGGGATTGGTGGGATTCTTTTTCTTGGTCCTGGTTTCAGGCCTGGTGTCCAATCAGAGTCAGGGTGTTTTCACCCTGACTCTAGTCTCAGATCAAATCAAGGTCAAGGCCCTTTTACCCTACTGCTATATACTCCACAGTTACAGAATCAAACAAAAATTTATCAAGCATATGATACATAATATATTATATATTTATTAAATATATAAAATTATTGTATATATTATCTTGTACCCCCTATGATTATCCATACAAAGGCAATATAAAAAAGATTAACCATACATGATAATTATACTTTGATGAAGAACACAAAATTGTTTTATACCTCTACTTTGGATGCCAGAAACACACACGTAGGAGCCATTAATACAGGATCTATACTTTTCAGAGAATACCTAAAACATAATTAGACAGGAGTTAAATTCTGTCCATTTAGAAAACATACTGGGTGATCAGGGAATCATAATTTTATAGCAAACAAGTGACTCACTTATATACTGCATATGGAAATTAGAAGAGAATTTCAAACAGGCTAACAAGAACATAAAACAGCCATACCTGGCATAGAACCTCTTGAAATAGACTGTAGCAGTAGCAATAACCTGTTGTCTTAATTTAAGATGTTCACCCAATGCTTGGATAACTAAAAAGGAAATAATAAAATTTAAATGTATCATCTGGCACCATTATAATAACATTAAATTTTAATAGTAATTTCTACATAGTATAGAATTATGTCCCCTCATGGCTAGGTACTCTCTGACACCCTCTGAACCACAGAGACTTGCAAATACAGAAACATGCAAAAACAAGAAACTGCTTACAAGTTATCTTGCAATAAGGAGGTTGAATATCAAATATTCCTCTTTTACTATATATTTTAATGCTTTTGATATTATCTATATAAAAAGTCCTACTCTTGCAGAAGACTCAAGTTCCATTCCTAGCACCTACATGGTGGCTCACCATCATTTGTAACTCTAGTCCTTAGGGATCTAAGCCTCCTCACACTATATAACATATAGTGCACAAATACAGGCAAAATCCCATACATAATTTTTTTATTAAACAAAAAATAGCAGGTAACAAAGCTATCCTGGCACAGTAAAGGTCTCTTGACTAAATCCTCTTCTTGCTAATGTAAAATTACAAGGTAAAAATGATAACTACAGGATGTCAATTTAAATAATTTTTTATTTTTACTTTTTAAGATTAACCAATCTTAAAAGGGGCTGCACTAGAAATACCCAAGGAGATTAGCTAACACTGTGCTTCCTACATATAAGGTGCAAAAAGTGTTACCTGGAATACTACAATGATAAGTGTGTGTGTGTGTGTGTGTGTATATATTTAAAAAAAGCATTAACTATAGACTGTAATAATCCATTGATAATTACCACAAGAGAGTCTCAAAGGTGACCAGCTATACTATACTACTTCAACCAACTTAAAACTTTACCATTTGTAAAAAATATTTGTAATTTCCAATACTCTTCTTCTGAGAGAAACTTTAAGTCCTTCTGGCGCTCTTTCAACAGATCTTGTTTATCCAAAATCCACTGCAAACTGGAAAAGTACAGATGTTAAGACAAAGTATAGAAAGCCAACAGACAAAAGCACCTAAAACTCTTTTTTTTTTTTTTTTCTCCTCTGAGACAGGGTTTCTCTGTGTAGCCATAGCTATCCTGGAACTTACTCTGTAGACCAGGCTGGCTTCAAACTCAGATATCCACCTGCCAATGACATCCCATCCCCATCACTGCTAGGATGTGGCACCACACCTTTTTTTCTTTCTTTCTTTCCTTTTTTTTTTTTTTTTTTGGAGGTACATCCTTAAAAGACAGTGTCTAGATAGGAATATAGCTCCGAGGTAGAGAGAGCACTAGCCTATCTCTGAAACACACAGTGTTAGCATTAATTCTAAATAGGTCTCTAAAATATTGAGTAAATTATATTCAATGAAAAGCTTGAGTTCTTCAACACATGCTCAAGTAGATTCTGCCTCAGAGGAAATTTGACATTTTTCTAATATTTTTTTTCAACCAGCATTTTCACTGTCGCCGCTCAAATTTCTGTCTTGTTGGTAAACCACATTAATCCCTTTGGTTCTTGACAATACTTGTGACTGCTTTGCTATCTTCAAGTAATTCTGTGTCAATCTATAGTGGCTGACTCCCGTTCAGTCTGGTCAATAAATAAGGATGCTATGGATGCCATTTTAAACTCTCAGGAGAGTTATTCATCTGATTCTTCTAGCTTTTCAGCAGCACACCCACAGCCTCATCAGGAAAAAAACAAAAACAAAAACAAAACAAAACAAAACAACAACAAAAAAAAAACAAAACAGGAGAACTTGAGGGAAAAGAATTAATCCTAGCACTCAGGAGGCAGAGGCTGGGGAACTCTGTGAATTCAAGGTCAGCCTGGTCTACAGAGCAAATTCCAGGGCAGCCAGAGCTGTTACACAGAGAAATCCTGTCTTGAAAAACCAAACCAAACAAAACAGAATCTCTTGATGTTTTTCAAAGGTTCTCTACCTCTTTCCGGATTTCCTTCAAGCTGTCATTTGTACAAATCACCAGCACACAGGTTCTAGGACCCTTTAGACAAAGGCCCTTCCTCAAAGATAGATTTAATATATACAAGACTATCTGTTTCAGTATTACATCATGGAGACAGACGATGTTAACCCCGCCTCCTTCTGTATTTTAACTTTACCTAAAACATCTCAGTGAGTGAAAACAACGAGAAATACTATGTCACATAGTGATGTCCCACGAACAAGAGTTCATCTCCCTAAAGTCATTTCGTAGCAAGGGAAAACACACTTTCCAGAAACAGGTTTTCAAACTCACTGTTCCCTTCTTCCCGGTTCTTGGGTAAAGAGGAAAAAGAGCCAATCCAATTCACAAAACTAAAATTTCTATAGTCTCTTCACCCTAAGATTTACTTAAACCACGATGTCTTCTATCAAGTCCTGTTCAGTTTTTATATATTCAGTGGAAAACCCGCTTGGCCCGATCACACAATCTTTCTGCACGTTATTCAATGCATTTAGAGAAAAATGTCTCAACTATAACTTTAGTCCATCCATGGTCACTGACAGGCACCCAAATTCATTCATTTAAATGGTTCAAGGAATAAAGAGGATCTGGAAAAACACACACTTTTAAAGCAAAACAGAGACATTGGATAAGGAATGAAAATGGGTTCATGTTGAGAGCACCTGCGCTATCTGTATTCGAGGGGCATAAATGTCAATTTAGAAGCTGGCAAGTGGTGGCGTACGCCTTTAATCCCACGACTGAGGAGGAAGAGGCAGGCGCAAAAACCAAACCAAACAAACAAAAAAGCAAAAACGGATCGACAATCTAGGCATCAAAAAAAAAAAAAAAAAGTCACGAAGCAGCAGTTAGAAACAAGGACGACTCACTCCTCTCCTCTGAGTTAAATCTGCAAGTAAGGCGAACGACAAGAATAGCGAATAACGTCGATGCGCTCAACAAGACCTGGCAAAGGCTGCCGGATCTGCCGGGACGGGACGGGCCACCTCACAACGCAGCGACACCGTGCTGCGCCCACATCCACATCCACATCGCCCCTCTCTGCTACCGCAGATGCCACCTGCAGCTGCCTTCTCAGTCTCCCTTCGCACGCCGGCCCCCTGCCCATCCTCCGGGTCCCCAGCCGCCACGTCCCGAGCCCAGCCTCGGCCGAGGGCTCGCCCACGCTCCCCGGGCCGCCAGGACGGAAGCCCCAGGGAGTCGCAGGCCCGGCCCTCCCCGGGCCCCAGAACCGTCCCGCGGGAGCAAACGGACGCTCACTCACTAGTGGGAGCTCTGCCAGAAGTTCCCTGCCATGGAACACTGCCTGCCCTGCTACAAAAGCACCAGCCAGCAGAGCGGCCCACGGAGCCACCATAGACCCCGCCCGCGCTCCTCAACCACACCGGCGGGGCTGAGCTCCGCAGCGACCGCAGCCCGAGGGACGGAGAGATCAGCGGGGCGCCGCCCAGGCGCCGGCCGGCAACGCGCAACGGCGCACACGGGTTCCGGATGACCAAAGTTCCGGCCCGCCCTGGCGCCGGAGGAAGCGAGCGGACCGACACGAAATGGGCCGGAGACCGGAAGTAGAGCAAACAGGGGCGGAAGCTCGCGCTGGAGAACCGCTCTCCCGCGAGATTTCCGGCGAGCTCCGCGCTAGAGCCGCCACAGTCTGGCTTTCTGCCTCTGTGCAGTTTCCCCTCTGCATCGGCCTGGGCCTCCTGCCAACCCTTCAGTAGTAGCACTCTGGAATTGAAAGAAAGCGTGACATTATATGACTGTTGGTTTTCCTAGGATTGGAAGGAGAGATTCACGATCTAAACGCTGAGCCTAACGAGTTGATGGTTTTAGTGAGGACAGTTTAGAACAGCAACCGTAAATGTCAGCGCCATCTACACCTGAAAACATATGGGCGTATCAATACATATCTAGTCACACGGATGCACACGCGTGCCCCAAATTGAAAGACTACAGAAATGCAATAATTTAGTTTTACAGAATGAACAGTACGTTTCTGTTATCATTGTTACATTGCACTCAGTACTGCACTTCGGTGGCTGAGACTGGGAAGTTGGAGTTTCAGGCAGGTCCTTGTTTCCGGCCGACACCTGTCTCAGGAAAGAAACAAGCCCGCCAAAGTGCTTGCTAGAGTCCCAGAAGCCCTGGGTGCAATTCCTGTCACCGCCACGTTAAGATCATTCTCAGCTGTGGCAGTCAATCATCATGACAGTGCCCCCATACGCTTGCCCGCAGACCAGACTGGTGGACACATTTGCTCAGTTGAGGTTCCCGCTTTCCAAATGACCCAAGCTTATATCCAGTTGACGAAAGCATAACCACAACAATGGCAAATTATTCTAAGCACATTATTTTAGGTGTACTGTGCAATTTTGGCCTCTCAAACACTGTTATTAGGTAGGGATCATATTATAACTTTAAATTATCATCTTCATTATTTTGCTTTGAGACACTATTTAACAACAACAACAAAACCCTTCCCTACATCTAACCATTCACCCTTTCTCTATCATTTTAAATGCTAGATAGCTATGTTTGTTGGCAATGACTAAACCTCAAAATTATTATAAAACGTAGTAGTTAAGAACTCAATTTTAGCCAGGCTTGGTGATGCATGCCCAGTTTCAAACTGGAACAAATGGCTGAGGTGCCTATTTAATATATCAAAGCAAGCCTGGCCACCAGGTTCTCCCTGCATCCCTTAGCCCCTGTTATAGCCCCTGTTACAGGGTCCTCCTGGCTGACATACCCAACCCCTACCCTGAACTCTAGCCCAGGGAGCTTAGCTGTTCTTCCCTATATAATCATTTGGATTGCCTGCTGATAGTGAGTCTTTCTCTGTCCCCCCCATCCAGCTACCATTATGACATAGAGACTTATTATTAATTTTAAGAGCTTGGCTGAATACTTGGGCTTGTTTCTATCTAGCTCCGGTAACTGAACCCTTATCTTTTAATGTATATCCTTTTACGTGGCTCTATTACTTTTAGTCTGTAATGTGTGTGCTGCTTGCTCTGCGTTCCTGGCATCTCTTCACAACTCTACCTTCTTCTTCTTCTTCTTCTTCTTCTTCTTCTTCTTCTTCTTCTTCTTCCTCCTCCTCCTCCTCCTCCTCCTCCTCCTCCTCCTCCTCCTTCTTTCCAGCATCCTCCATGCCTGGAAACCCTGCCTAGTTAATGGCTTGCCTGTTCAGCTCTTTATTAAACCAAAACAAGTGACATATATTCACAGTGTATAAAAAGATTATTCTACAACACTGGATCTCTTTGGACCTTTGGGCCTCCTGACAGCTGTACCTGGTCCCTCTCTCCTTCTACATGGCACAGCTCAGACTGGTCATGTACACCCTGGACTCTTCCAGATGTTCCTGCCTCTGCCTCTTACTATGCTCTCCCTTATTTCTACAATAATCTTTCCCTTCCACCATACCTAGGACCAATAACTTCTTTTCTTTTCTTTCTTTTTTATTCACCTTTAATTCCAACATTTGGAGGGTGGAGGCAGGCAGGTCTTGAGTTCCAGGCAGCTTAGTCTACAGATTGAGTTCCAGGGCAGCCAGGACAACACTGAAAAACTCCATCTCAATAAATCAAACTAAACTAAACTAAACTAAACTAGACTAAACTAAACTAAAATAGGACAAAAATCTCAGTCTCGCCAGGCATGGTTTTGAATGCCTTTAATCCCAGCTCTCAGGAGGCAGAAGCTAGCAGATCTCCATGAGTTCAAGGCCAGCCTGATCTACGTAGTGAGACTCTGTTTTTAAAGAAAGAATCCAAAAGCAAACAAACAAAAGAACTCAGTCTTGGTCTGCAAGTCAGCTCAGTGGGTAAAAGCATTTTCATACTGACCTAAGTTATTTTGAAAAAGCTGTAACTGCCCCTGTAACTGGAGCAGTCAATGGTGTTCCCCTGTAACTGGAGCAGTCAATGGTGTTCCCCTGTAACTGGAGCAGTCAATGGTGTTCCCCTGTAACTGGAGCAGTCAATGGTGTTCCCCTGTAACTGGGGCAGTCAATGGTGTTCCCCTGTAACTGGAGCAGTCATACAAAGTCCGATCATCCCTAGCTCATGGGCCAGCTAGCCTGAAGTACACTGTATAACAGGAACAGCAAGAGAGACCCTGCTCTGGGCAGGTGGAAGGAGACAACCAACCCTAGAAAGGTGTCCCCTGGTCGTCACACGCAGACAATGGAATGTGTGCCTGCAATCATGCACAGAAACAATAAAAAAGAACTCAGTGGGGACAAAGGTCTATAAGCCTCGAAATCAGGGAAGGAGCCAGGAGGACTGGGTGTTCAAGCCCAAGATGGGCTACAAAATATGCACCCATTTAACAAATAAACAAAAACCTCATTGTCTAAACTAGGGTGGCTTTGCCACTTAATACTCTAGTAACCGTAATTAAAACATCGGTTCATCTGTTAGAAAGAGATAATCAAGGTACCTAAGTCATGTGGTGATTGTAAATTTTCAACAAAATTAAAATAATATCAAGTACACAGTAAGAAAGACAGATTTTTTTCTCTTTCTTTCTTTCTTTTTCTTTTTTTTTTTTCATTTGTTGACATGTTCTCAGTATATGACCCTGTCTGGTCTAGAACTCACTATGTGAACCAAACTGTCCTGGGACACAGAGGAACTCTTGCCTCTGCCTCCAGAATGCTGGGATTAAAGGCATGTGCCACCATGTCGGGCCTACTCTTAGCTTTTATTACATAAGACAGCCTAAATTACAGCACAGATAAAAAAGAACTTGGTTTTTGTAACACAGTGTTGCCTTGGATTAGGAGTTATTTAAAGTTGCCAAATTATGAATTAAAGCCATTATATAATATATTAGTAGGGGATCTGGCTCTTGATTCTCCTAGGCAATGGATTGTTGAAGCAAGAGAAGCCTTATGTAAAGTTGAGGAAAGACTACAAAATGCATTTCTATCTAGATGGAAGGAAGGTCAAGCTATCACATTATGCATTCTCCCTACCTATAATCAGCCTACAGGATTGTTATGGCAGGAAAGACCATTGCTTTGGATTCATCCCAAAATCTCCCCAGCGAAAGCAATAGAACATTATCCCACAGCAGTCGCTAGTTTGGCTCATAGTGGAATTCAACAAAGCATTCAATGTTTTGGACTGCCCCCGGCGCTACTTGTGGTGCCTTACTCCAGTCACCAGGTTAAGACCTTGTGTGGCACTATCGATAATTGGGCCATATTGCAATGTGGGTTTGAAGGAATGATAGATAATCATTATCCAAAGCATCCTTTAATATCATTCTTTAGGGAACATCCTGTGATTTTTCCAAAAGTAACTTCCTCAGTCCCACTTAGTGGGGCGCCAAATGTTTTTACTGATGGTTCAAAAACTGGTTGTGGGGCATATATGATTGCAAATAAGCCTCCTGTGCTGTGTCAATTTCAGCCAGGTTCCCCTCAAATTGTGGAATAGAAAGTTGTAGTCAAAGTATTCAAAATTTGCCCATTTGCATTTAATTTGATCTCAGATTCAGCATATATGGTGAATGCAGTAAAATTTTTGGAATTAGCAGGCCCTATTAAAATTAGCAGTGTTGTTTGTTCACTCTTACAAGAGTTACAAAGATTAATTTGGTTGAGAAAGGAACACTTTTATATTCAACATATTAGAGCTCATACCGGTTTGCTTGGGCCCTTAAGTGAAGGAAATGACATTGTTGATCAATGGACAAGGGTGGAATGTATTTTTTACAGCTCATCTTTAGATCAGGCTAGGCAATTCCATTAGCAATTTCATGTGAATGCAAGGACTCTTCAACAGAAATTCCATTTGTCCAGAGCAGATGCTTGACAGGTGGTTTTGAACTATCCACAGTGTATATACCAACACCCACTTGGTGTGGGGGTAAACCCTAGGGGGTAAATGCCCCTAAAGATATGGCAGATGGATGTCACGCATATTTCAGAATTCAGAGCTTTGAAATATGTACATGTGTCTGTGGATACTTGTTCAGGTGTGGTGCATGCTACGCCTTTAAGTGGAGAAAAAGCCCACAATGTCATTGGGCCTGGAAGCCTGGGCGGCTTGGGGAAAACTTCAACAGCTAAAAACTGATAATGGGTCAGCCTCTATGTCTCAGAGATTTACTTCCTTTTGCAAACAAATGGAAGTTCAGCTTGTCCATGGATTACCCTACAATCCTCAAGGACAAGGGATTGTAGAGCTAGCTCATCGCACCCTAAAAGAATGCTTAATAAAACAAAAAGGGGGAGTAGGCCAAGGCCGAACTCCCAAGGAAAGAATATCTTTAGCCCTTTTTACCCTCAGTTTTTTAATTTTGGATGTTGATGGCCTTTCCGCCGCTGATCGTCATCAGCAGCAAGGAGGGGGCCTAAAAGTCTATGTGAAATGGAAA